GAAGCATATCAAGGAATTCATCAAGGAAATTGCTCTGTTGATGATTACTTCAAGGAACTGGAGTTGCTCATGATGCAAGTTGGTGTTAGGGAGGATAAGGAGGCCACAATTTTTTGGTTTCTTCATGGATTGAATCGTTAAATCCTCCACGAAGTTTATCATTGATCTTTCGTCGAGTTAGAAGAGGCAGTTCATCTTCCATTCAACGTGGAACGACAATTGAACTCGGCTCCAGGAAGATGATTTCCTCCCGTTTCCTAGCTGAACACGGAGCAGAAGGTCGAGGCCAATAACCCCCAATTCAAGCCAGATGTTTCCCGAACTTTGACCCAGAATCTGCCACCTGTTATTCAGGAACAAGATGGAGGATCTATAGGAGGGATTCAGTGCTTTAAATGCCATGGTAGAGGCCATAAAGTGAACCAGTGTCTGAACCTAAAGACATTGATCTTTCGTGATGGAGAGTATGTAAATGACAAAAAGGAGAAAGAGAAGGGTGTTGATGAATCTTCTGAAGAAGAAGTCGATGAGGAAATCATCATTGAAGCTCCAACTATTGTTAAGCTCTTGACCATGAATCAGAGAGCTTTGACGATTGAAGCTCACCCATCTGCAGAACAGCTGGATAACCTCTTTCACTCACGGTGTGTTGTCAATGACAAACTTTTCTCCCTAATCATCAACGGAGGAATTTGTACAAATGTCATTAGCGAGGACGTCGTCAAGAATTTTGGCATGAGTACAACGAAGCATCCAGAGCCATAAAATATGCATTGACTTAATGATTACGAAGCCATCAAAGTGACCATGCAGGCCAAGGTTCCCTTTGAAATCAGCAGCTACAAGGATGAACTTGTGTTCGACGTTGCTCCAATGCAGGCAACTAATTTACTGCTTGGACACCCTTGGAAATTCGATCGACAAGTATGCCATTTTGGAGGGACCAACTGCTACAAAGTGAATCACAAAGGTTGAAAATTTATGCTTAAACCAATGTCACTAGCTGATGTTTGATCTGATCAGCAAAGATTGGTTGCGAATCGAGCCAAAGAAAGAGGGGAAGCAAGTGGTTCAAAGAAGGAGGAAAGTTTTTTTGCCCATAGATACATGCTGACGATGATTTCATCCACCCAGACGGCTGGTGCGAGGCTGCTCTGCTCACCGGCGGCTTATGAAGCAAATGGCCTATTCTATAAGTAGAAAATCCCATATGGCCAAGACATGGCTGGACAATCGGCCTCCGGGGTCGATCACCACATGGACCGCCATTGCCAAAAAGTTCTTGAACTGCTATAATCCCCCTTCTAAAACTACAGATCTATAGAAAGAGATCCCCCATTTTGCTCAAGAGGAGGATGAGACCATCTGGGATGCTTGAGAGAGATACCAAGGTCTCTTCCTGAAGTGTCCCAACTATGGGTTCAATGATGCCTTCAAGGTGGACATTTTCTAACAGATTCTCTTTCCCGAAGACAAGCAGTGGTGTGCATTGTGTGGACACCCAGTCATCTGAGTTGGTGCATGTAGTTACTAAACTGGTCATGGAGATTTATCGAAATGGAACAATTCCCGGTTCAGGGCGGCAGCAGGCGATGTATTGCTTGTGGTGCGAAAGCAGCCACAACACAATTGAAAACTGCCTGGAAATGAGGGAATCTACTACACCTCAAGAGCAGCTGGACTTCATCGACAATGCTAGGCGCTTTGACCGCTACAACAAAATTTATAACAAGGGGTGGCGCCAACATCCTAACTTCTCTTGGAGTGGTAGCTATAATCCTAAGTCATCTGGTTTGCAGGGACCCCCAGGCTTCCAGAGACGGTCGTACCAGGCCCTCTAAGGCTAGTTCCAGCAACCGCAACAACCGCTTTATCCGGCTAGACAGGGGCAATCTTTTCCTCAACAGCAGTCGCGACAGTTTCGACAACCAAGAGCATTCCCAGCAACCCCCGTACAGCGTGATTCGATGGACGAGGTGCGTAACATCGTAGAGCCCTTTCCAGCACTAGAGCTCAGAAATTTGCCAATATGGAGCGTTTCGTGGAGAAGGCCTCCAAATAGTTCCTGGATCTTGAAGCTTGTCAGAGGTCCCTTGAAGTTGATCAAAGTAACACACAGGCTGTTCTGCAGGACATCCAGCTCCATCTTGGAAGTTCACACAAAGGTATGGCGCAGAGGGCTCTAGGTACTTAATCCCAATGATCCATACGCCCACTTGAATGCCATTACCACCAGGAGCAGGAGGTGACTACAGAGATCATCGTCTAGGCCATACAGGGGGAAGAAAGACATGTTTCAGCACTTCTCCGGACAATGTGGAAAAAAGGAATAAGGAGAGAGAGGTGCATGCTCCTAAGACACAACCAGTGTTGAAGGAGTATGTTCCTCAACTCCTCTTCCCTACTCAGTTGCACAAAGACCGACGGGGGAATGAGTTTGAGAAATTCATGGCAATGCTTAATCAGGTGAACATCTATCAAAGATGCCCAATTACGCGAATTTCATGAAGGATCTCCTCACCAACAAGAGGAAGCTTGGGGAGCCATCCATTATGGCGCTCAACGAGGAGTGTTCAGCCATTCCGCAGAACAAGCTCCCACAGAAGTAGAAGGACCCGGGTAGTTTTAATTTCCCGTGCTCTATCAGTACCCTGCATATCGAGAAGTCCTTGGTAAATCTGGCGCTAGTATTAATATTATGACATATCAACTTTTTAAGAAACTAGGCCTAGGTGAACTAACTACAACTAGGATGAGTATCTAGTTAGTTGACCGGTCCATCGTTTATCCTAGGGGCATTGTGGAAGACTTATCCTGTGGACTTTGTTGTCTTGGACATCAATGAGGAAACATAAGTGCACCTGATACTAGGTAGGCCCTTCCTGGCCACCGCCAAGGCACTCATTGATGTGCACAACGGGACCTTGGTTTTGAGAGATGGCAAGGAGCAGATAACATTTTCCATTGCTAATAATATGATTATTCTCTCGCCTGTGCATGCTTTATCTCACCAAGTGCACAAGTCTGTAGTGTATCCTTCTGTGTCTCCCATTTTGCATGACTCTACGACTCCTCCCCCTCTACCACTCCAGCTCCCTCGGTTGCAAAGAGCGGAGTGCAAGGAGGAGTGGTGTCCAAAGTTGCAAATAGCCAAGCCTTCCCAAAAGAAAGTTGAAGAGGGCTCTGAGCTGGTCCGAGCCTTTGAACCACGACCACCCTGGCCATCCGAGTATTCATTCGCTTGCATCCTGCCAGATGGTCAAGTCGAGTTAGCCCGTGCTAATGGTTGTGGCCTCCGCGTTCATGGCCACCATTTGAAGCTGTACCTCAAGAGTGATGTAGATCCGCACTTGGAAGCACCTGTTCCTACACCACCCTGAGCATCCACCATTGGCGTCTAGCTAAAAGACGATAAAGAAGAACTTGTGGGGAGTTAACCTCACCTCGGTTTGCATTTCTATCCTTTGCATCTTTTGATTTTTGGGTCTTTTGAGTCTTTGTTTATGGTTTTAGTCTTTTTGGAGTCTGTCTCATGGCTTCGTGTGTCATATTATTGTGTGTGGTTGTGTGGATTTTTGAGTCGCAGCCCGAAAGTGTTGATTGTTTGAAAATGCGGTGTTTAAAGGGCAGCAGAACAGGTTCATCAGTAAAAGCACGTGCAAAGGGGAGATGAAACACGACCGTGTTTCTTCCTCTCCTTGCACGTATTTCCCAGAGCTCACCTTTTTGCTCTGGGCTTTAAAAACACGGGCGTGGCACTAGTAAAACATGGTCGTGTTTTACTCTATGCTGGCCAGTTTTTACCTCTTCTTCTGGCAGCTCTCGGCTTAAAATCACCCCCAAGGAGTGAAGAGCAAGACTTCAAGGGCTGGACTCATTTATCACATTCCCGAGACCGTGATAATCACCCCCAGACCGTGAAGTGACCAAATTCCAGAAGCAAATGCACACCTCGCATGATCCCAGTAATTTCACGATCGCTAAGACCGTGAAGTTGGCACTGTCGGGCAAATATAAAGACAACATTGGGGAGAGAGAAAGGAGAGCTAGTTTTTTGAAGAGATTTCAATTCTCTCTCTAGGATTTCGATCCAAAACACCAAAGGGGAGTTCTAGTGAGAGAGAGAGAGAGAGAGAGAGTGCTTGAGTGATCTTGGAGCTTAATTGGAGGCTTGTGTTGATCTTGAAGAAAAGGATTCAAGCCTAGAAGAAGAAGATCTTGTGCTCCAATTTGTAAAATCTCTCTTTTCTTTCTAGAAACTCACCCTCTTCTCTTGGGATTAAGAACCCTAGTTCTAGATTTTGATTGGGTGTTGATGTATGTGACATATTATATGCTTAATTGTGTTTATTATCTAATTGATGGATTGTTTTCATGGATTTCATGAGATTGGATTCCATTTTCATGTTTTAGATTTTGACCTTGGAGGGAGATAATCCCCTTAGAGCTCAATTTTGGCGTCGTCGAGTCACTCCTATAGTATCTTGACCGGGTAATCCCCGAGGAAGTTGATTAGATCGGTCTCCTAGTAATTTACAAAACCATAGGTTGAATAGAGCAACTACCCATCCCTCGATTCGTCGTTCTGGGTCAATGCTAAGGGAGTCTATTTCCTAACGGTAGGATAGTGAGTCAATCGAGCTAGGATAATACTCAACATCGTTCCAATTGACGGAACTAGCGGGATTGAAACCTAAGAGAGCTCCAAACTTGTAAATAGCTAGGTTAGTTAGTTTAATTCTCTTAATCATTATCCTGGGTTGGCTAGATAACGAACCCTAAACCAAAGTAAGGTAAGCCTAGATCTCTGTGGTACAATAAATTATTACTGCTTGCTTGCCCTATGCTACACCCGGTCGGCGGTTATACTTGGCCGTCGATCGGGATGTTGAGGTTGGAACGAGTCAGCGACCTCACCTTCAACCAACTACAGTGCGTATGTCGGCTTTTCTATTATTTTGGCCCTACACTTAAGCTAGGAATTTTGGGTTTTCTTAAGTTTGAGAACCGTGGACATGGGTTATTAGCAGGAACCCGTCGTGTCTCTATTCAATTTGTTGTTGTTTGGTTCGGCCCTGCATTGATGTACACAAGGTACTTTCTCACATCAAAATTCTTTGAAGATACCGTCTTTCAGAACATCATTTACTCTGCCGTTCTTGTGCAATTTTAAGGAGTTGATAAATTCTCTCCTTAAGGGTATGGTATATGGCTACCTTAATGTTGTTAGGGGAAAGGGAAACAAATTGTTAGGTCTACACTTCGGGATTCCAACGGGGATGCTTTAGGTTTGGCGACAAATCTTGAATCTGATATGTCAGCAGCACAATTCGCAAACTCATACAAAGAAGACGATCTCACCGGTGGTCATGTTATTATGCTTGGAGCTGAGCCTTTAACCAAGCTGCAGCAATCAAAGCATTGCATGCCTATCTCAGTATAACTCCTTGTTCGTTTCTGCTACTGAAAAAGAATTCGGTGTCTTCATTGTTGCTTCCATGTTTGCGTTGTTTTGCTAGAGCCTTGTGCGTTTCCTTCTCCGCCTTACTTTTAACTGTAAGAAATTGGTGGCTTGCAAGTTGGACGTGGTATCAACACCGAGAATTGCTCAAGCTATATAGAGGAAGCAGCCAGCCATGTCATTGTCACCTCAGTATGTAAATGCATTGATGTTCCTCTATATCGTTATATGTCTACTTGGTCTTCTTTAAGAATTAGTTTTACCTTCTTCTTCATGTTCATTGTGCAGTATGGGTTGAATGATGATGGATTAGGAGAGGCTAAAGGATCTTGTCCATGTTGTTGGCAAGCAGAGGCTAGTATTAGACCATAGATGCAGAAAGAAGGTATCTTGATCACACTAGTTTGTTGACTGAATACCTGATTACAACATATGTAGAAATGGGAATAGATAATTATCTTATCGCATTCTTTGGTTTAAGGCTCAGTTTCAACCATTTTAAGGCAAGAAACAACTTCATTACAACAAGAATTTGATCCATTACACTTAATATTATTTTGTGGGTGCGGGATGGTAGATACACAATTGTCACTGAAAGGTGGCAGAAATTTAGCGACGTGTATCTTGACGAGAAGATACAGGAATTCCTCGCCAGCTTTGTAGATGAATTTTTGGTTTATTTGGCTCGACGTTGAAGGGAAAAAGTAAACTAGTTCATCTCCATTGCACATTATCCTGAAAAGTTTCAGTTTCAATACCTTACTATGTTGCTTAACTATAGGTTGGGACTTGATGAAGAGTTAGTTTAACTCCTTGGGGAGCATTCACTAGTTAGTATTACATACTCTACTTCCTTAACCTTGAAACTGTGAATGTCTACCCGAGAATAGGAATAAGCTTTCCAAATCTGATCCTTCACATTGAATAATGATTGATGCAGATTCCTGTAACTTACGCAGGTGGTGTGACAGTTATAGAGGACTTGGAGAGAATAAGGACATCAGGGAAAGGAAGGGTGGATGTTACTATGGGGAGTACTTTGGACATTTTTGGCGGCAACAAGGGATGGAGATTGGGTTGGTTCCTGTTACCCGGACTCAAAGCTGAGGGTACTTGGACCCAAAAAATCCCCATGTTAGGAACCAAACCCAAAATCGAAACGGTTCTCGGGTACCCGAGTACCTAATTTAATGGTTCACTGTTCTTCTTCAGGTACCTGAGTACTAATCTCTCCCGCTGCCAACACAATTTCCCTCTCCCTCCCTCTCGATTCCTTAGCTCGGCCACCGTCGCCGTCCACTTAGCTCCTCCTCCCTCCTTCACGAGTCACGCCTTCCTGCCGACTCATCACCAACGTCGACTTCCGTTATGCTTCTTCCTCTCAATTAAAGGTCGCGAGTCTCTCGAAAATCCTCCATCACCGCCTGTAACCAATAACCCACAAGCGAGTAGATCCACTCTTCCGCAAAGAGGAGCAATAGTAGCAATTGGAACCGAAGAGGAGCAGCTGACTTTTCCTCCCCACCTTAGGAACCTCTTCTTCTCTGTTCCACCTCGCTTCCGTTAGGTTTCGGTTTTGGTACTGGGTTTCACCGAAACCCGAAACATTGCAACATTAGGACCCATACCCAATTTTTCTTTTATTAGTCGGTTCTCGATTCCTCGATACCCGACACTTTTGGTTTTGGTTCCGGGATATCCGGATCATCGAACCCGAACGTTCACCCCTAGAGTCAACTTTCCCTACATAGAATTTGGGACCAAACCTTAACTATGAATTGGGGACCAAATTACCACGTTAAAGTTTATATTGGCAGTGGTTGTATTTAAACCCTAAACCATTTGACAACCCTTACAATTTTGAAATGAATGTTTTAGGTAAGATACAACCTTATAAAAATACAAAGCAAATGTATACTAATTATTACTAATTTCATTTCTAGAACATAAATTAATTTATAAATCAATCCAGGGTATGTATGAGACTTTGAAGAATCATTAACCTAGCTAGGTGAATGGTGGAGACTTGAAAAAATTATTTTTAACATGCTTTCTTAAAATTAGTGTTGGTTTTGCTTGTTGCAATTGTAAGGATTGAAAAGATATTTTCAAAGATGAAATCAATCGAGAACGATCTATATAATTCGTGGGTGATCAATTATGAATGATTGGTTGGTTATGCTCATTAAAAGAGATGAGTCTTAGCATAAATGATGAAGTATTTTAGAAACATATTTGAATATGAAAATACGTCGTGGTTTGCTATGAAAATTAATAAATTTGTGTACTTTATGATTTTTTTATTTTATTAATTTATCATTGAATACCCTTAATAAAATTTCTGGGTCCACCACTGCTTGTTTCCATCGTTTTTCCTTTGTTACTCTCAGAGTGATTCGTGGATGAGATTCTTTGAAGAGAATGTTCATCGATTTATTCCCCTTTACTTTCTATGATAATGCAAAAGAGTATCAAACAGAGTAATATACGATTATTCATGTCAATATAGGACGTCCCGAAATTGAACCTCTTGTTTAGGGACTCCTTTTTCGTGGTGATCTTAAGCCTTGACTCACCCTCTGTGGGTGAAACTTGAATAGTACCCTAGCAATTCACATTTGCCACATTGTTTCTACTATGTCATTATTCATCCATTCCTTCACATACCTCCCCACCAATTAATGAGGTTATAAAAAATAAACGGGAGAAGGCTAGACAACATAGCCCTACCAAAGATAGGCACCCGTAATGATATCAAAGTCTATTTTTATTTTTTGCTATCAGCCTTGAATACATAAATGATATGGAGTACAATACAACATGGCATAAAGTTGCTGAGGGTAGATAAGAACATGGATATTGAAAAATCACAGACAAGCTCAGAATAATGCTGGAGAAACAAATCAACAAGTAAATAAGGGGTCGTTTGCTTCATGTGTTTAAAAATAAGGGTTTTGTAATTTAAAAACACAAGGATTTATCAAAGATTTGAGGCATTATGGATTTGTAACAATCCTTTGTTTGTTGAGATGCTTTATCATGGATTTAAGAGTTTGAGATTTAAAACTTAAAGTCCAAAATTACCATACTATCCTTTTCTATTTGTATGTCATGTTTATGATATTACACAAAACAAGGACAATACATACTAATAAGTATAATGTTGCCACAAGGACAATAATAATAAATACGAAAATTCGGTTTAACTTTTAACAAAAAATATATCGGTTACCAATTCATTGTCCTCCTTTTCAAAAGTAACATAGAGCAACATATATTAGAACCGGAAAATAAAGAATTACACGTTCCATGAAAAGGTTAAAGGAAACTAGAACGCAAGAAAGGGTATAGAACTCTAACTCATGTTTGCATATTAATTAAATATTTATATTATTTATTTGTTGTTAATTAATTAATGATTTATAATGTACAATAGGTAAATGTGAGGGCAATCTTGTAATTTCAAAAGTTCATGAGGGTATATGGGTAAAATCCCATCATGAATTTATGACATGTTACAAATCCCACATCAATATATGGGATTTACAAGTCCATGGGGTCCACGGATTTGAGCTCTTAAAATCTGCGGACCCCACGGATTTGGTCCCTAAAATAAATGCAAGTAAACGATGGATTTTTGTTAAATCCATGATGGAATGGATTTGGGTACCAAATCCATCATATAAATCCATGAAGCAAACGACCCCTAAATCTTCGTATTTCGTAACCATAAAAACATCCCAAGTTGGGTAGAGATCAATAGGGGGGAGTAATATCTTTTCCTCTGCAATTTGCAGCACATCCCAAGATATAATCACCAAGCATTTCACAACTTCAATCATGTCTGGAGTTCCTTAAAACTTAGAAGTGATTGGGCACGCATTCTACGAGCGTTGCTTCTAGTACCAGGTAAAATGTTAAACAAATTAAAGCAAGTCCATATTGGAGGCATTCAACATGTTATTTACTCCTACTTGAAACTTCCATTGAAAAAAACTAGTATTATTACAACTCTCAACTTTTAATTAAATTGTTATTTGTGTGTCTGTTTTTATCTTGATAGTTGTGCTCAAAATTTTCATTCCATTAAAATAGTTTGTTAGTTTTTCCCAAATCATTAAAAAAAAATTTACCTCTTAATTTCAGAAAATATATAAATATATATATGGTGGATTCTTTGTTGCACTCATAAAAATGAGAACCGTGACTATGAGGCGAGTGCATTGAATGTGCCCAAAAAAGTGAGTGCGTCGAAGACAGAAATATATATATGTGACCACTTTTTGTCTGTGCCCTGTAGTGGTGTCCTTACTGGGCGAGAGGCGAGCAGTTCGTAGGTAGTGTCGTCCAGTCATAGACATTTCGAGCAGTATTTCCATTGATCAACTTTACAGCGATGATGTGGCACCATCCCGACCGCATGCTCCGACAGTTTGGCATGCTGCAAGATGAGCCCCATCATCCAGCGGGTGAAGATAATACTAGGTGGTTTGTTCGCCAGTCAGCTCGTGTGCCATCTTGTGGGTAGCAATTGCTACACACCTAAAGAGAATCGCTTGCATTTTGGAGTAGTCGACATGAGTATATAGCGACTATGCCATTCAGTCAGGAGGCTTTAGCCTAACAGAGGGAGCATCTGGAGTGGTATTGAGATGTTACCAGACATTCTATCATAAAGGAGAGTTGCTGGATTGAACGCAATGGTTAGTTTTTCTTGTTTCATATTTGGTTTTAGCTGTTTGGAAATTCTTAGTTGTGTGAAATCTTTGATATTTTAAATTTAACTTTGAGTACGAGAACTTAGAGTACGCTGCATGGAGGTTACGGAATAGAGAGCTGTCCACCAACGAGAGGATGAAGGTGCCTTATATGGTGTACTTAAGAGTGTCTGCTTTAGGTTTGGATGATTGCCTCCATTGGGATGTGACAGTACCTATACAGCAGCATCCTGATGGGCATAGTCTTGCCAGATTGTCAAAGCGTACAGATCCAAGATCGGCTTGACACGTGCATGAGCCACAGTTCACCCAGGATGCCAGGATGCGTTGACAGCGACATGATCACCGCAACGTGCCTCACCCACTAACAATTTAGTATCTGCAACTATCACAGCCAGCTCAACTCGCTCCCAGCTCGCAGCTTGTGCGACCTAATCCTACCTTCCAGCAGCAGTACAGACCCAACACTTCTACGCAGTTTCAGCCAGGATCTTCCCAGGCCTTTCAGCCAGGGTCTTTTCAGGCCTTCCATCCAAGCACTTCTTCCCAGGCCTTTCGCCTTTCAACCTTCGAGGCCTTTCAGCCAGATACTTCTCAGGCCTTTCAGCTAGGCACTTCTTAGACCTTTCAGCTAGGGCCTTCTTCTGGATTCCACCTTGTTACCTGATTCGGGCCTAATTGCACATGTTTTGCCCCCATTTTACCTAGATGTTTGTGCCAAATTATTTCCTTAAAGGTTGGTTTTACGCTAGGTTCTTCGTGTTTGAGTGTGTTTCATGATTTAATAGGTGAAACCAGCCTCGGAGTCAAAAGATTGGCGAAAAGGATCGAAAACCGGGAGAAGGGTTGAAAAAAATCCAGTTCACTGCTAACTGAACTCAGCTCTTCTCGGGTTTAAAAGCTGAGCTGAAAGGAGGAGAGAGGGGCGAGCCCACTTTTGTGAGAAACACCTTCTTCAGCATCTAGTGAGAGAAACAGAACCAAAGGGAAGAAGAAGGTTAGGGTTTGGCTTCAAGGCATATTTTGGGAAGATTTCCCCAAGGAAAGCTACTCAAGGGTTAAAAAGAGAGGGAGCATCCTCAAAGATGGTTTCCACCTTTTTTCCTTTTGTTCTTCCCACTTCTAGCATGGAGTAGACCTCCTTTCACTTGGGTGTAGTGAGACCCTAACTCTGCCATGTAGTTTTCTTGTATGTGTTTTGGATGATTGTCATTGGGTATTGTTCAATTCAATGATTGAGGCATTATTCACCATGATTGTGCATGCTTGTGCTTAGCAACTTAGGGGTTGTGCATGTTTTGTGCTTAGCATCCTTAGGTTTGTGCATTTAGGTGCTTAGAAACCTAGGAATTGTGCATAATTGTGCTTAGCACCCCTAAGTTTGTGCATT